ACAACTGCTACTACTACTATGACGACGACTACTACTACTACTACTACTACTACAGCAATGTGAATAATGACAATGGTAGACATACTTGTAATAATGATAATGAGGAGATAACAGAAAGACAAGTCAGAATAGTTACAATAATAATAATGGTAACAGAAGTAGAAGTAATAATATTAATAGTGATAATAGTGAGGAGGTGAGGGGAGGTTGGGAAATCAGGAAGAAGACAAATAATAATAATAATAATAATAATAATAATAATAATAATAATAAGTAGTAGAAAAGGAAATAGAAGAGGAAAGAGAAGAAAAAGAAAAGGGAGGGGAATAAAGAGTAGAAGAAGAAAAGGAAAGGAAAAAAGTAAGTGGGAAAATAAAGTGCAGCAGACAAAATAATGAGAATATTAAGAAAAAAAACATTACTATAATAATGATAATATACGCATAATAAAAACACAAAGTAAAGAATAATATTGGAAAAAAGAATTTAAGTAAAAATATGATGAATTATTAATAATAATAATAATTATTATTATTATATCATTCATTGACCCGTTATCTTACTCTTCAGAGTTCCCATGAAGGGGAACCCGAGTTTGGTCAGAAAGCCCATTCTTACTCTTAATATTTATAGTTATAATAAATAAATAAAAATAGTACATTGTATTTTGTAACTTGACAAAAAAAAAGGTTGTGGTGTGAATCACATTTATTTTTCATACACTATTTTGCCCACTCCATTTTATGAAGGCCCAACCACTTGAACATTTCCAGCCTATCTGTTGACTGGAAAGAGAAAAAAAGCATACCTTACAGTATGTTTTGTAGATAACCTATTAATTAGATGGACAAGGAATAACACAAACAATGTCTTTATACTACATGTTACTGACAAAACAAGCTGTAAAAAAAAAAGTCACAAAAAGACTCGCTAGTGTCTCCTCCCATCTTTAGTGTATATTTATAAAGCGTTTTGTCATTGTAAGCTCACTGATAGTCTTCATCATGACCATCATCATCATCTCTCTGCTCCTGCTGGTTTCTCTGGTGCCAAACCTGACCTTCACTGGTGAGACTGACTATACAACACGATTTACAGATTTATAAATAAGAGCATTATAAAATTGACATGTGCTGAGTAATTTGACACAATTTCTTTCAGCTCATGTGGGCATAGTAGATGGCCAGGAGGCAAAACCTCACTCCAGACCTTACATGGTTTCTGTTCAACAGTTCGATCAAAATATTTGTGCCGGATTCCTCATTTCCGACCGGTTTGTCTTGACGGCTGCACAGTGCTGGCACCAGTAAGAGTTTTGTTTCTTGTGAACAGCAATGTTTATTGACAAAGCATTTTAACCAAAGACTTTTGAATGACTTAATACATATTTCCAATGCACTCTTTCATCAGGAATCAGGATTTGACTGTTGTGGTCGGTGCCCATGATTTGAGAAAACGTCAACATTCCAAGAACTTTATAGTGAAGAACCACATTACGCATCCAAACTTCAATTCTAAAACGTTTGAGAATGACATCATGCTTTTAAAGGTACCCTCCTGTATAACCTTTGTTCAAAATAATGAACTGATGAGGAAACGGTGGCACAAATTTCAAAATTCATGTTTTAACATCTGAAATTCTTTTAATTCACCCTGTCCTTCGGGGCTAAAACAGCACTAAAATCAGTTTAATCTCAATTTGTTCATTGCTAATAAATGTGTTTTTAAATTACAGCTAAAGGAAAAAGTCCCACTGAACAACAAGATAAGACCAATATCATTACCAAAGAATGGAGAAAGTTTTAAAGCAGATACTCTCTGTAGTGTTGCTGGTTGGGGAAGACTGTGGACTAAAGGCCCAGTGAGTGACCTTCTATTGGAGGCAAAGACAGCTATAGTGAATGATGCAGAGTGTAAACTCAGATGGGGATCTCATTATGTGCCCTCAATGATGATCTGTGCTTTTGGTCATGGTGGATCCTGCAATGTACGTATAAAAAAGTTAATAAAAATGTATCAAAATGTATGAACATGTTTTACTAGTGACATGTTTATCTGTGTTGCTTAACAGGGTGATGGAGGAGGTCCTTTGGTTTGTAATAACACTGCTGTTGGGGTCACAATTTTCAGAGACCATTATCTCTGTAATTCACGTTTGCTTCCTAATGTGTATACTAAGATTTCAGTATATCTTCCATGGATCCGCAGCATAATTGGAAATGTCTAGCGACTCCATGAAAATAAAAACGGATGAAATGTTTTTCTTGAATTCTTCTGTAAATTCTTTAATAAATGTATGGCAAGCATCCATCAGTTGAACTGTCCTCTTTGTCACAACCATTTATTATAACAATTTAGATTGGGGTGCATGTTTAAAGTCAGTCCACACCAGTTTACAGTACTTGATCATAATATCGACAACTTCTTAAAATTAGCATTATCTGAACATAGTCTACATAAAAGGGGGATCTTCAAAACTACTGCTTAAACATTTATCAGACTACTGAAAAAAATAATGAAATTGTGAAACTCTTAGATATGCACATTTCACCATAACTGGAGATTTTCCTAAAAATGTTCCAGTTTTTAAGCCTGCTCAAAACAACACAAAAAGCCCAGCTTAACTACAGTGTTGCTACTTAACATGTTATAGCTGCATTTTTTAACATTCAGGAAACTTTGTTACCTATCATTTCCAGAAAGCAAAATACTGTACTGAGATCTTCATAACACCTTCAATTTCATACAGCTAACATTTAAATGGACTGAAAGAAACAAGACATAGGCATGCTCACAACAAGTACAATAACTACAGCGATAACCATCAAAATATCATCATTCTAAATGCAGATTAGTAAGAGTGAGTCTACGCTCTACGGTATGGTATTTGGTAAAACAACTATGTTAAATCCATATCATTTACCAAAGGATAGCAAAAATGTTAACACAGAAACACAATTTTAGTTATACTTTTGTTTAACCCTCATATCTTGTTCACACCCCGCCCCTTACTTCAGTGTTCCCTGTCAAAATTGACTGGTCTGTTTTAACTGCTCTTAAATTAACACAAAAACAATTTTTTCATCCCTAAATTTTTATTCAACATTCTTTAGCTGTGAACAATGCCTTAAAGTAGTGTTTAAAATTAATTTATAGAATCCGACATAAAATAACTGCAGCAAAAAAAAACAGCCGTTGAAAATGTAATACAAAATGAACATTATATGAAAGAAATCAAAATACTTTGTTTTGTTAATAATAGACAGCTCGCTAAAATAACTATCACAGGGTCTGACCAAAGAACCTGACATTTTAATCCATCTGGGCTGCGTTTCCCGATAACGATTGATCTTAGCACTTAAGAGCGTTTTCTACGAGTCATTTTGCGAACGTTCGTTATTGTTTCACGTGCGTTTCCCAAAAATGCACTTAACACAATTGCACGTAGCCCAGCTTTAAGTGCAACTTAGGAGTCGCTATCCGTTTGTTAAGTGCTGAAATGTCACGCTATAGAATGGCTCGTTATTGTTGCACATGTTATAGCAATCCATATAATTCTTCTTCTACTTGTGTGAATGTATATTCAACTCGAATAACATAAAAAAAATATATTTTTGAGCCAGTTTAAAAACATAAATTAACTGGAAATGTCGTACTGTAAAAACACTGTCTTGCTCCAATCTCGCATAAAACTAATTCTAACAGTCCTTGCCGGAAACGACATCAGCATCATTTTCGATATTTATATGAAACCTTAATTAAGTAGAATTATTTATCAATTTCTTTATCAAAAATTGCTTATCTCACATCAAAATAAATAAATAAGTAAATAAATAAATAAATAAATAAGCTCTTACATTTATTTTTGAAAAGTTTAGCCTAATTATCCCCACCTGATGTGCATTTGCTAATAGGACAAAAATATAGCCTACTACCCTCGAAATGTCCATATACAACAGTGTAATTTTTTTTTTCATTCTAACATTTATTATGCTATTTTTTTTTTTCATTATTATTTGTATATTGAATTGTGTAATGTGTAGAAAATATAAATGAATAGAGATATACGTACAAATAAAATGAATAATGACTTTGAAGAGAAGTAAATTGTAGGTGCAATTTGCCGGTTGTCCAGCAGGTGCCCTCATAACCCTGTCTCCTTACGATGCACTTAAGGCTTTACGATTACTCCAGAGCACTCGTAGATCCACTAAGATTTTCAAGTGCTACTTAAGTTACGATGCTTTTGGGAAACAGACCGTAATATTAAGATCAGTCGTACGATCATTTCTACGAACTTCTTAGGCTTACAATGCTTTTGGGAAACGCAGCCCTGAATGATTGACCAACCAGCAAAGCACAGACAAAAGGGTATACTTTCCTGTGCATTGAGTGCTCAAATTTTTTTATTTAGTCCTTCAATTGGACTATATTAGTATAGGGAATAGTGACTGAGGGTATAGATGGTGAGCATGGGCAAAGAACTAGCACTGGTTATACTTTGGTCATTTTTGAGTGAGATGATAACGGTAAAGATGAAAATCGTGCAAATTAGCTACTTAACTGACAAAACGTAAAAATAGTTATTTCCTTGTGAGATCAGGCTGGAGGATTCGCACAAAAGCGCGGAAAAGAGATGTGTACCTGTAAAAGACATTGTTTAGTCTGAAATATGCGAGTGAGTGAGTTCTGGTGAACTCACAATTCAATAAAAGAGGTGATCATTACTAACATTGTTTCAGAGTAGGTCTGTCTAGTATATGGGCGTGCCAAGATAGTGCACTTTGTCAGCGTGGCACATATCTATCAGGGTAAGCCAAGGGTGACATTTCCGAAAAACTGTCTGGCCATTGTCTTCCCCAGGACATAGGCAGCCGACTTGAAGGTCATGAGAGCATCATCAACCACCGTACAGAGCTTACGATTAAGCCTGGTAAAAAAAAACAAACTGCCCTTGTGCAGCACAGCCCTGTGGTGTTGTTTTGTAGAACAGAAGCGGCATGTTCTGCAGCGGTGTGGGCTCTGGCCTTGAAGGGAGATCTCAGCTTACCCCTCCAGGTGGCGGCACCAACCACCAGAGGAAAGATTCGTACCCACTGGCCACCTCACCATCAAGGGAGGTGAAGGTCTGACAGCTTGCTCTCTGATGTCGCGATGGGCATCTGATCTCTGGTGTCATCAAGTGAAGGTGTGGTATCCCGGGAGATGAACCGACACAACCAATCGAAGCTTGGATAGGGCATGCTGTGGAACAGCGGAGGGTCTGCGGGCCTGGAGGCGATGAATAAACCTCCACTTTGTTCCTAAGATCTGCCCACATGCTAACATCTTTCACGGGGAGCAACGGAGATGGCTTGAAAGCCGCAATCTCAGCTGCACAATAGCCATGCTCTCAGAGTAAAAGCATGAGCTTTCCACAGGAACCGCATCAACATGCTGTACCCCCAGACCTGTGATGCAGTACCCGTGCTCATCATCCTGAGATAACAACCACTGCATCCAGATACACACAGTCGGAACAGCATCTTGAAAAAGACACATTTCTTAACCTTGTTGCTCTCTTAGGATCTGCTATTTTAGTGAAAATTGGTCTTTTAGCTACCAGGGAGACGTCCAGGGGATGAGAAAGGAGCCCAGTTCGACTGCCGCTGTACGCGTCGTTGAACGCACTGGCAGGAATTCAGTCTCTAGTGTGAGGCTCTGAATGCTCGCTTCACAAGCTCCAGCTGACATACTCTATTAATGATTAATCACTGGCACCTGCAGAGCCGAGCTCTGCCAATTAATTTAGCATTCATTGACCCATTTTCTTACTCTTCAGAGTTCTCATGAAGGGGAACCCGAGTTTGGTCACAAAGCCCATTCTTTCACTTAATATCTATAATTATAAGAAAATAAAAATAGTAAATTGTATTTTGTAAGTTAACAAAAAAAAAAAAAGGTTGTGGTGTAAATCCCATTTATTTTTCAGACACTATTTTGGCCACTCCATTTTATGAAGACCCAACAACTTTTCCAGTCCATCCGCTGACTGTGTGGAAAGAAAAAATAAACATATCTTACAGTATGTTTTGTACATAACCTGTTTAATAGATGGTGAAAGGAATAACACAAACAATATCTTAATACTATCAGTGTTACTGACACAACAAGCTGTGAAAAAAGTCAAACAGGAGTCACTCCGGTCAGATTTTATTGTCCCCTCCCAGCTTTAATGTATATTTAAACAGTGTTTTGTCATTGTAAGTTCACTGATAGTCGTCATCATGACCATTATCATCATTTCTCTGCTCCTGCTGGTTTCTCTGGTGCCACACCTGACCTTCACTGGTGAGACTGACTATACAACACGATTTACAGATTTAAAAATAAGAGCATTTTAAAATTGACAAGTGTTGAGTACTTTGACCAACAACACCATTTCTTTCAGCTCATGTGAGTATAGTAGATGGCCAGGAGGCAAAACCTCACTCCAGACCTTACATGGTTTCTGTTCAACTGTTCGGTCAAAATATCTGTGCCGGATTCCTCATTTCGGACCGGTTTGTCTTGACGGCTGCACAGTGCTGGCACCAGTAAGAGTTTTGTTTCTTGTACATTTTTGACGAAAGACTCTTGAATGACATATTACACATTTCCAATACACTTTTTCAACAGCAATCGAAAGGCTTTGACGGTTGTGGTCGGTGCCCATGATTTGAGAAAATGTCAACATTCCAAGCACTTTAAAGTGATGTGCCACATTACGCATCCAGAGTTTAATTCTAAAACTTTTGAGAATGACATCATGCTTTTAAAGGTACAAACCTGTATAACCTTTGTTCAAAATAATATCTGATGAGGAAACTGTGATACAAATTTTTAAATTTGTGTTTTAACTTCTGAGTTTTTTTTTATTCACCCTGGCCTTTGGGGCTAAAACAGCAGTATAATCAGTTTAATCTAATCTTTTTTATTGCTAATAAATGTGTTTTTAAATTACAGCTAAAGAGAAAAGTCCCACTGAACAACAAGATAAGACCAATATCATTACCAAAGAATGGAGAACGTTTTAAAGCAGATACTCTCTGTAGTGTTGCTGGTTGGGGAAGACTGTGGACTGATGGCCCAGTGAGTGACCTTCTATTGGAGGCAAAGACAGCTATAGTGAATGATGCAGAGTGTAAACTCAGATGGGGATATCATTATGTGCCCTCGATGATGATCTGTGCTTTTGGTCATGGTGGATCCTGCAATGTACGTATACAAAAAAAGTTTATGAAAATGTATCATAATGTATGAACATGTTTCACTAGTGACATGATGATCTGTGTTGCTTAACAGGGTGACGGAGGAGGTCCTTTGGTTTGTGGAAACACTGCTGTTGGAATCACAATTTTTAGAGACCGTTATCTCTGTAATTCACGTTTGCTTCCTAATGTGTATACCAAGATTTCTGCATATGTTCCATGGATCCGCAGCATAATTGGAAATGTCTAGCGAAAATAAAAACAAATGAAATGTTTTTCTTGAATTCTTCTATGAATTCTTCAATAAAAGTATCATATGGCAAGCATCAATCAGTTGAACTGTCCTCTTTGTCACAACCATTTATGATAACAATTTAGATTGGGGTGCATGTTTAAAGTCAGTTCACACCAGTTCACAGTACTTGATCGTAATATCGACAACTGCTTAAATTAGCATTATCTGAGCATAGTCTACATAAGGGGGGACAGGGGGGGGTCTTCAAAACTACTGCTTAAACATTTATCAGACTACTGAAAAAAATTATGAAAATTGTGAAACTCTTAGATATGCACATTTCACCATAGAGATGAACTACTAGAGATATCCCTAGAAATGTTCCAGTTTTTAAGCCTGCTCAAACAACACAAAAAGCCAGCTTAACTACAGTGTTGCTACTTTTTACCAGAGTAAACATGTTATAGCTGCATTTTTTAACGTTCAGGAAACTTTGTTACCTATCATTTCCAGAAAGCAAAATACTGTACTGAGATTGTGATAACACCTTTAATTTCATGCAGCTAACACTTAAATGGACTGAAAGAAACAAAACATAGGCATGCTCACAACAAGTATGATAACTACAGTGATAACAATCATGATATAGCATTTTAAATCATTCTAAATTCAGATTAGCAAGATTGAGTCTACACTCTACAGAATGGTATTTGGTAAAACATCTATGGTAAATCCATATCATTAACCAAAGTATAGCAAAAATGTTTACTAGACCTTTGTTTAACCCTCATGTCTTGTTCACATCCCGCCCCTTACTTCAGTGTTCCCGGTCAAAATTGACTGGTCTGTTTTAACTGCTCTTAAATTAACACAAAAACAATTTTTTCATCCCCAAATTTTTATTCAACATTCTTTAGCAGTGAACAATGCCTTAAAGTAGTGTTTAAAATTAATTTATAGAATCCGACATAAAATAATTGCAGCTAAAAAAAAAATAGGCATTGAAAATGTATTACAAAATGAACAATATATGAAAGAAATCAAAATACTTTGTTTTGTTACTAATAGACAGCTCGCTAAAATAACTATCACAGGGTCTGACCAAAGAACCTGACATTTTAATCCATTTGAATGATTGACCAACCAGCAAAGCACAAACAAAAGGGTATACTTTCCTGTGCATTGAGTGCTCAAATTTTTTTATTCAGTCCTTTAATTGGACTATATTAGTATAGTGATGTAGGGAATAGTGATTGAGGGTATAGATGGTGAGCATGGGCAAAGAACTAGCACTGGTTATACTTTGGTCATTTTTGAGTGAGATGATAACGGTAAAGATGAAAATCGTACAAATTAGCCACTTAACTGACAAAACGTAAAAATAGTTATTTCCTTGTGAGATCAGGCTGGAGGATTCGCACAAAAGCGCGGAAAAGAGATGTGTACCTGTAAAAGACATTGTTTAGTCTGAAATATGTGAGTGAGTGAGATCTGGTGAACTCACAATTCAATAAAAGAGGTGATCATTACTTTTAAATGTTCAAGTGCATAGTGGGGAGGATATCATAAGGCCTTGAGGCAAACAGATGTTAAACCCAATATGTATTAGTGTTTTAAGTTGTAAATGGGTCAGTTTTGACACGAACAAGAGAGGAAGGTTAAAGTAATCAAATAAATAAATATCGATCTACTCAGTTTCATAGGTGTGCACAAGTGCCCAGTTATTAATGAGTTGATGTATCCTCCTAAAAATACTTGTAGGTTACATCATGAACAAGATGATAGTTGTAAGGCTCTTAATCAGACAGTAACAAACAATCATGCAAAAATTTAAAGGTAAGACAACACCAGTAGCTTGGTCACTAGGCCTGTCATGTTATCTATTGTTTGTTGTACGATATAGTGCACCAAAATATATTGCAAGAAAAGATATTATAGTCATTTTGAGACCATTTTATTCCACTCATTCCACAATGCCAGAATGAGAATATATATATATATATATATATATATATATATATATATATATATATATATATATATATATATATATATATATATATAACATACATAACAACAACACATAATATTTAATTCCTAAGAATATTTAATTCAATTATAGTCATTTTAACAATATAATAATTAAGTGTTGGCATCAGAATGGGAAAACGCATATCCTAAATAAATAAATAATAATACAAATGCAAAAATAATAACAAAAATGCAACGTAAAAAGTAACAGAGGCTGCAATATCTGCTACCAGATCTATTTTTAGTTGTCAGGCACCATCATGAAAATATACTATAGTAATTTATAGTAAATACTATAGTGTTTTTTTAACATACTGACACCTCCGATAGAGATGTTGCACAATCAGCTAAAATGTTGCTAGTACTGTTTTTTATGTATGGGCGATATACATTGCATCACCAAAAATGATTAAGGTCATGTCCGTGTGATGAGCAATAAGTTGATATATTGATTATTGTGACAGACCTATTGGTCACATACTTCAAATGGATTTACATACTTCAACTTCGGGTTTGCCTATATTGCATTATTGCATGTAAGAGTAATGCACAACGTCATCAGTGCTAGCAAAATATGATGTTGGAACACAAGGTTAATCAGAATTGTGCAAGAGAGAGATGGCATTTTGCATTGGCCTATTTTGAAGTGTACTAAATTGCATGGAGATATGTCCATGAAGAAGTAGAAGAACTGTCCTCTTTGACAACCATGACAGTATATCATCTACTGTACGTACATTTCTAAAGTCATCTTAATTCAGTTCATTTGTTAATCTTCAAGTCTCAAGGTATTACTCGTACTGTATAAAGAATCTAAAATTGGTACAATTCCCTAAACTATCCACCAGAGGGAAGTATTGTTTGTTCTTCACATATCACTGGTTAGTCAAATGAGTTGTGTGTTGTCAGTTTAGGCCTATCTGCATCGCCAGGCATAATTGACTGTAACAATAACTAAACTCTATAAGTAAAAAATAAATAAATAAATAAATAAATAAATGTTTAGATCGGTTACTTTTCACATCAAACTTACATTAACAGATTAAAACAAGAAAAATAGTTTCTAATTGAGACTAGATGCATAGATTGTATTATAATGTTTTATTAATAAAATATTGAAACAATCCTGAAATGTATACAAATAGAAATCCATGTGGTATTTAAAGACTAGACTTATACTTTAATGTATTTGTACTAACATAATTTTATTATTCAACCTAAACTTTATTCAGTTTTTCATACAACACATTAATATAAGCAAAAATAGTAAACATAATTTTAGGTTAATAATAATAAACTACACACGGTAAACTTAAAATTTGTGTAATTTTTAAATGCAATGTACAGTAGGTCTGTCACAAAAATCAATATATCGACATATCGCACAAAATGTGGACATGACCTCAATCAATTTGGTTGATGCGAATCTAAAATTGGTACAATTTCCTAAACTATCCACTAGAGGGAAGCATTGTTTGTTCTTCACATATTACTGGTTAGTCAATTGAGTTGTGTGTTTTTACAGTGTAGGCCTATCTGCATCACCAGGCTTGAGTGACTGTTACAAGAACTAAACTCTATAAGTAAAAATAAATAAATAAATAAATAAATGTTTAGATTGGTTTAGGCGATTATTGTATCCCCTGTACATAAAAAACAAATACATAAAAAGGAATATCTTTAAAATGTTAGCTGATTGTGCAACATCTCTATCTCTACTGGATGTGTCAGTGTCCGAATGGTTTAAAAAACATAGTCTACTCTTTACTCTGGATTACTTGGTATATTTTTAATGTGTGTGCCTGACAACTGAAAATAAATCTGGTAGCAGATTTTGCAGCCTCTGTTACTTTTTACCTTTTTGTTAACATTTATTAATATTTATTTAAGATTTTTAAGAAAATATTCTCAAGAATAAATTGTGTTGTTTGTAAGTTAGTTCTTGTATTGCGATGATATTATATTGTCATTCTGGCATTATGTAATGAGTGGCATGAAATGAATGTCTTAAAGTAATATTGTTTACCGCAATAAATTTTGGTGCAATGTATCGTACAACCAAAATATATATATATATATATATATCTAAGGTCTAATGCAATGTTACATTTATGTTTACTTATAATAAACATTTAGTCAACGCTGTGTGTTATTTCATATAGAATTACTTGGATGACAACAACATGCAACTCACAATCTCTTCATTTTCAAAATTAACCATTAAAAATAATAATACTCAAGTCCTACCTTTTTGAAGCTGCTTATTGTATCAAAAAACTTTCAAAACAGCCTCCAGATCTCAACATTCTATATCTTGATAAATATTAAGAGACGAAATGTGTGTTTTTTGCGGCTGACATAAATCTTCAAGCAATGTAAAAAGGAGCTATGATTTTGCCTCTGAAAATCGTATGTGATTTTACGTGAAGACGCAAGGATCGGCGCATTTCGCCTACTAGTGGGAGGTGTCAGGTTGCTTTTACATGGGTTGTGCGTCAACCTCCATCTCTCCCTCGTGAAGCAAATACGGAAGTAACTGAAATTGCAATTCCTCGAAATTCCGCTAGTCCTGGCTCTATAAGAAACAAATTTTCTTTTGAGCCCACTGTTAAAGAGCCCATATTATGGGTTTTTGAAAATTCCTCTCCATGTAGTGTGTAACACAGCTCTAAGTAAAGTGAAGTATCCATCTAAGGCTTAAATCTGTTAGTGTACAGTGTTTAAAACGGTTGATTCATCTATAAAAGAGTCGACTCATAGTGCTTCAAACGAGTCGCCTTGATACCGAGTCATTAGGTGTTTCGCCATGACATACGAACGAAACCAAGTTATTCACGTGCACGCGCAAACCCGGGAGATTTCAAACCTGAGGCCCCGCCCTCTGACGCAGAAACGCAGACACATACACACACACCCACAAACACATGCACACAAACATGCCGGTCGATTGATTGTCGGTCACACTGCAGATGGATATTATCGACTCTCTACCCAAAGATGAAACCTCAGCATAATAACCAAGCAGTTGGAAACTTCTGCAAACTACATGCTACAAAGAATACTTCATTGGCGTTTGTTAAAGGAAGGATCAGTAAAGAGTAACTTACTGAT